CTCTTCTCCAGCCAGAGCTGCGCCTTCTCAGGTTCCGAGTGCTGATGCTGACGTTGAAGCATAGGAACTCGGGCAGTCGTCTTCAGAATCCTACGGATTGACTTGTGCTTAATCGATGAATGTCGCGTCTGCTTTTGCCTCTGTTTTTGCTTTCAGCTTGCCTTGAATTTGTACAAACTTTTATTTTTTTGCACTTTGTACTCAGTTCGACATCTGTGCTTTCCGCTTTGTGGGCGGCTGCCGATGTTAGAATTTCTTCCTTGTTTTTTAACACTTTGAATTCCTTATTTTATGCCTATGAAGTACTTTCACAGTTTTCTTCTCTCATTGCCTGTTTTTCTGTCCTTTCTTCTTTTAGCTGTTTTTCCAAATTTCTTCAAAATTTGGTTAAGTGTAGAACTTCGGCTTGGAGATATACTTGGCTGAGAACTTCTTTATCTGAGAGTGCACTATCTCTGCTTGCATTCCTTTTACCTCACTCTTTTTACTCAAATCCTTCAACTTATGAAAAAAATTTCCAAGTACTAAGCTTCGGCTAGGAACTTTCCAAATGAGTACCTCTTGCCCCCCCCAGAAATCTAAAGATGATGTCTTCAGGATTCTGGGATAATTACTTTGACTTCCCTGGCGTAGCCGAGGGTTTTACCTTGGTGAAATTTTTGCAATATTCCAGCTTTGAAATTTCTGCTCATTTTTCTTTTTCTCTTCTATTTTTGTTTTCAAAGGCTCTGATCCTTGCTCAAGAGCCATAGACTCTGAGAGCAATAATCTTGTGACCCTTTTAATTCATATTAGGTAACGACTATCCGAAACACGATGTCGGGGCAACGATCTATCCGAAGCACAATGCTTCATTAGGCAATACTTCAGAAATGCGATCATTACCCGGAACTGATTCATCCGAAGTACAATGCTTCATTAGGCGATACTTCGAGGCTTTATCAGTCCCTATTTTTTAGGCAGTGTCTAAGATGCGCCTATGGCCTCTTTGCCCGGGGGAACTGGTTTGTCCGAAGTACAAGGCCTCATTAGGCAATACTTCGGGATTTTACCATTTATTTCCACCTGGGCAGGCTTTGCGGCTTGCCAAAGTATGATGCCTCCTAAGGCAATATTTCGGACATTACCGGACAAAAACCTTGAATTTTTGTAAAAACCATAAAAGACAGAAAAATAGAAACATAGCTGAATTTGAATAAATGGTGGCTCAAAGGCCTTTAATTAATTAAAGAGGACGTACTTACATAGATTGTTCTTCCCCGAAGGGATTTACACATGATATTTTTTTAGTACATCAGCGTTCTAGTAATTTTTCAGTTCAGTACCATCCAACTGTCGAAGTCGGTATGTGCCTAGCTGAAGCTCATCATATTTTTCATAGGGTCCCTCCCAAGTGGCTGAGAGTTTACCGTGCATGCGGCCTTTTTGCACAACAGCAGCATTCCGAAGAACCAGGTCCCCAACTTTGAGAAGCCTTTGATGGACTCTTCAGTTGTAAAATTTGTTGATTCTCTACTTATATGCAGCCATTCTGTCTCGAGCGGAATCTCTGATCTCATCCAAGAAGTCAAGGGACTCTTTCATGAGTTGCTCATTTTCTTCGGCTGAGAAGAGGTTTACTCAAAGACTTCCCGAGCCAATTTCGATTGGAAGCACAGCCTCGGATCCATAAACCAATTTAAAAGGTGAATGTCCCGTTGTCTTTTTTTCTGTTGTCTGAAGTGACCAGAGAGTTCCAGAAAGCTCCTTTATCCATTTGGACTTTTGATCTTCAACTCTCTTCTTGAGAGCGTTGAGTATCTGCTTATTTGTCGCTTCGGCCTGACCATTACTCTGCAGATGACAAACTGCAGAATATGCCAGTTTAATGCCGAACTGATTTGTATACCGCTTCAGTGGCAGATTATCAAATTGTCTTCCATGATCAAAGACAAAAACTTTCAGAATCCTGAAGCGAGTGATGATGTTCTGCCATAGGAATTTCCTGACAATTTGCTCTGTAATGTTCGAAGCAGCCTTGGCCTCGATCAATTTGCTAAAGTAGTCTATGCCGACTATCAACCATCTTTTTTGATAAGGGGCATCAGGAAATGGTCCCAATATATCCAATCCCCATTAAGCGAATGGAAGAGGATTCAGGATTGGCTGAAGGATCTCGGGATGGCCGCTAGATAACTGGTGCGAATTTTTGGCATTTCTTACACTTTCTGACCAGATCCTTTGCATTTGCGGTCATGGTTGGCCAATAGTACCCAGCCTTTAGTGCTTTATGAGCTAAGGTTCTTCCCCCCTATGTGGTTTCCGCAGATGCCGAGATGAATTTCCCGAAGGACGTAATCTGCATCTGCTGGACCCACTCATTTCAATAGTGGGGCTTAAAAGGATTTTTTCAAAAGCTCCCCTCTGAAGACAACGAATCTTGAGCTGATTCTTTTTATCTTAGAGGCTAACTTTTTGTCTTTGGGAAGTTCATCCCGAAGTTTGTAAGCCAGGATGGGATCCATCCAGCTCGGTTCATGTGCAACGCAACATATGTTAATTGCTTCGTCCACACTTCTTTCTCAGCACACCTCCACATATACAGATCGGTTTAACTCAGTTAAATTTAAACTTGCAAGTTTGGAGAGTGTGTCGGCTTGTGCATTCTGACCCCTTGGGATCAGCTCGACTTCAAAAGTTCTAAGCTTCGCAATAATAGTCTTGATCTTTGCGAGGTAGGCTATCATTGAGGCCTCTATGGTCTCATATTCACCTCGGACCTGATTTGCGACGAGCTGAGAGTCTGTCTTTAAACAAGCGTGCTCGGCCTCCAATGCTATGCACAACTCTAAGCCAGCAATCGCTGCTTCATATTCAGCTTCGTTGTTCGAAGCTTTGAACGAGAATTTTTTAATGCATATTCAAAGGATTTGCCTTCAGGATAGGATATGACGACCCCTGCCCCCGAACCATTCACGGTGGAGGATCCATCCGTGTAACGGTCCAAACTTTCTTTCCTTCGTCAAGCGTCTCTTAATAAGAAAACTCGGCTAGGAAATCTGCTAAGGATTGCGCCTTGATAGCTTCCCTCGGTTGGTAATTGATACTGAACTCGGTGAGCTCTAAAGCCCACTTCGCTAGTCTACCAGATTTTTCCACTTTGCCGAGGACTTTTCCAACGGCTAATTAATTAGGACCACTATTTGATCGGAATCAAAGTAGGGCCTTAACTTCCGAGCGGCTACCACTACTGCGTAAGCAACTTTTTCGAGTAGGGAGTAGCGTGCCTCGACATCTGTCAGAGTGTGGCTGACAAAATAGATCGGCTGCTGAACTCTTTCTTCTTCCCTTAGCAACACCACACTTACTGTGGCCGGACTAACCGCCACATATAAGTATAGAGTTTCTCCTTCAGCTGGTCTTGCCAGTGTTGGGAGTTGAGCCAAGTGCTCACGAAGTTGCTGAAAGGTTTGCTTTTTCTCGTCTTCCCAGATAAGCTCTTTTGATTTTGGGAGTTTGAGCGCTTTGAAGAAAGGTAGCCTTTTGTCCGAGGCTTTAGAGATAAACCTGGACAAGGCGGCCCTTCTGCCAGTTAGGCGCTGAACATCCCTCTTTGTCTTCGGCTCAAGAAGGTCTAGAGCTGCTTGTACTTTGGTAGGATTAGCATTAGTCCTCCTTTTACTGACCATGAAGCCGAGGAACTTGCCTGACTTCACGCCGAAGACACACTTCTTCGGGTTCAGTTTCATTTGATGCTTGCGAAGGTTTCGGCCAGGTCCGTAACATGGTCCTTTTCTTCCTTGCTTTTGACGATAGAATTGTCAACATAGACTTCCATATTACGGCCTTTTTGCTCGGCGAATACCTGATCAACCAACCTTTGATATGTTGCCCCCGCTATTTTTAATTCAAAGGGCATCATTTTGTAATTGTACACCCCGGAACTTGTAACGAATGCCGTTTTTGCTCGGTCATCGGGGTGCATGAAGATCTGATGGTATCCAGAAAATGCGTCCATGAAGCTAAGCAGGGCATGGCCACTTGTCGAGTCGACTAGCTGATCGATCCTCGGCAAGGGATAGAAGTATTTCGGACATGCCTTATTTAGATCCGTGAAGTCAACGCACATTCTCCAGCTGCCATTTTCCTTCTGAACCATCACCACATTAGCCAACCATTCCGGATATTGAAAAGGTTCGATGAACTCTATTGACTTTGTCTGTTATCCAGTTCCATAGCTCTGGCACTGGATTCTTCGGACTCAGGTCTGCTGTAAATATCAGCAGACTTTCCCAGACTCTGGCTGATCTTCTAAGTCTTTCGGCTCAGACGAAGAACTAGCCTTTTCTTCCCCCAAAGATTTTTCTTTTATTGGGGTTCATTGGGCCGAATAACTTAAGCCTTTAGGCTTTTTCGCGCAACGGTCTCGCTCTTTTTCCTCCTCATCATCCCGGTCGTCGCAACGACCCTTGGATGGCTTGAGGTGGTTACATCTTCGGGCTTCCTTTTGGCTGCCCTTCATTTTTTCGGAGTGTCCCTCGTCCGAAACATACATCATCGTTTGATGGTACATCGAGACAACTCCCTAAATATCGTGAATGAGGGGTCTCCCCATTATCACGTGTACACAGATGGGGCATCCACAACCAGGAATTCAGCCATGATGCTCCGCACTGCTCGACCTTTGCTGATGGTGACAAGAGGAAGGATCTTCCCATCTGGATATAATGAAGAGCCACTGAATCCGGCTACCGGGTAGGGTACTGGAGTTAGGTGCTTAGCCTCTAACTTCAGTTGGTCAAATGCTCCCCGAAAGAGGATATTCGCCCCACTGCCACCGTCGACGAGGGTTCGCCAGACGTTGCGGTTTGCAATGCCCATTATTATCACCAATGGGTCATCATGAGGGTACACCACCCCCTCACAGTCTTCGGCTGTGAACAGAATGTTCGGCACCGGAGATTGAGGCGCTCGGAGCTCGGCATGATGTACTTAGTGGGTTAGACCCCTCAAGTGATGTTTCACTGCGCTCCGGGAAGTTCCTCCGGAATGGAAAGAATGTCAAGGGTGTCCTTGTCCTGTTGCTTGTCTTTTTTCCGGAGAAAATCCAGATCTTGGCGAGAGTCTCTCTCATCTTTTTTCTCTTCGCGACGGTCCGCGAGGTACTTCTTCAGATAGCCCTTCTGAATCAGATCTTTGATTTGGTCCTTTAGCTGAAGGCAGTCCTCGGTGCGATGTCCAGGAGATTTGTGGAACTCGCACCATCGGTCTTTGCCTTTTTGCTGATGCCATGGTGGCAGCGGTCTGGGCTTCTTAAATCTCCCCTTATCTTTGGTCGTGCTGTAGATTTTAGCACGAGGAAGAGTAAGGGGAATGTAAGAATCGTATCTTCCCGTATAGGGGGCGATCTTTTCTTTCTTCGGCTCGGCAGCAGAAGACGGTTCTGAGGCCTTGGCCTTCCCTTTCCTCGATGTCGGGCCCTCGAACAGTTGTCCTTTAGCTTTCCCAGCCCCTGATTAGGACAGAGATTTTATCTTGTTCCATTCTTCAGCTCGGATAAATTTATCTAAGGCATCCAAAGCTTCTTCCAAGGTCTGCGGGGGATGCATGACCATGAAGTCAAGAAACTTTCCAGCTTGCAGACCATTCCGCAGTGCAAATACGGCAAGGCCCTGATCCATACTTGTAATTCTGGATGACTCGTTGCTGAAGCAAGTTAGATAATCGCGGAGGCTTTCGTCCTCGGCTTGCTGCAGACTCATCAGTTCTGCAGTTGTCTTCTCACGGCGATTTGTCGTAGAAAAATTGCTCTTGAATTTGTTAGAAAGGTCTTTCCAACCGGATATAGAGCCTTCTTTCACCCCCTTAGTGATCCACGATTGTGCAACACCTTTGAGGGTTGTTGGAAAATACTTGCACCAGGTAGCCTCAGACATGGGGTTGAGATACATGTGCCCCTCGTAAGAGGCAATGTGACCGTTTGGGTATGAGGTACAGTTGTAAGTAATGTGCGCCGGTATTTTCACCGTCTGCACATGCTCTTCCAATATTCAACTTTGGAAGGGCGAGCTTGTAGGGACCATCACGCCCTTCCCTTTTTGCTTGGCCGAAGGGACCTCGCTTCTCCCTCTTAGAGAGGTGGAAGTGGTTTTCGTCCCTGGTCGAGACAATTTGGGATATGGCCCGGTTCCTTCTGGGAAAGTGAGGCGGCTACGCACGTCCACCTCCCTTGAGCCTAAGCGTTCATGAACACTTCGGCGAGCAGACTCCTTATATGCAGAGGTAGTGTTGCTGCTCCGGAAACTCATTGAGTCCCGAGTTTTGTGAGTGATGAAAGAAGTGAGGGTTCTTCTTCCTTTCCCTATCGGTGTTCCATGTGTCCTCTTGCCATTTCCCCCCGAGCTCTTTGTAGGGTGGAACTTGTCCACTTTCCTCTTGATCGATTCTCCTTCTCAGGTGTCTCGGCTGAAAAGGTGAAGACTCGTGAGGCGTTAATGGGAGCTGACCCCCTTGGGCCTTAAGGAATTCCATGCAAACCGCCACGGCCCCAACCACTTCTTCCATAGAAGGCCCCGACAGAGAGGGTTCTTTCAGCTGGGACCGAGAGTGTAGATTGTTCGGTGGAGGACTCCTCGCATTAGACCCACTCGGCCTGGGCGAAATTGTTGGTTGGCGAGTGTGGTGCGAGGAAGAGTCTCCTGAAGCCTCTCGGTAGGAGTGATTGATTTTTGGCTTGATTTTTTGTATCTTCCCCACAGACGGCGTCAAATTGTTTCGATAAAAAAACAATGGGACCTTCGGAGGGTCCTTTTGAAGGGGGAAGACTAGTCTCGGTCCCAGTGACAGCTGGGCCGAGGATTTCCTGCACAGCAAACACACGTAAAACTAGCCTCGGAGGTAGTGCCGAGGAAAGCCCCTCCGATGCCAAAGTCAGTACAATGTTTAAAAGAGAGAGAGAATGAGCTATGCAAGAGATTTGGGGTGTTTGAGGCTGATTGTGAATGAATGTAAAATGAAATAAGTTTGGGTTTTTATACCTTTGATCAATTAGGGGACTTGGGCCCTTTGGACTGGACCGTTAATTGACTTGGCATTGGGCTGGAGAGTTGAACCTTGCCTTTGGGCTTTAAATTGCATCATTTGTGGACCAAGCCCAATAGAGGATTAATTGGACCCAAACATAATTTATTTTATTATTTTTTTTTATCAAGAAACCAATATTGTCAACACAAGCGCATGGAGCATGTGTAGATGGATACAAAATACCCTTTTTTCTGAAGAGAAATTTTTACACCGAACCAAAGTTCAAATTCTTCTAATTCCTACAATTGTTTTGTGTAAATATCATCTCATTTATGTTATGTTTCGCAATACAATTAATATGATCACAAACACAAACACACGACAATATCTTACACCTTTATTTCATTTCCCTTTCAAACATTTAAATTTTAAATAGTTTTTCAAGAGTATAAATCTCTTAGAATCTCGTGTATGTTTTCAACCCCCTTTTCCCTTAGTCTTTCGAACAAGTAGTTACCTTGTTAATTTAAACGCATTAGCCTGAAACAAACATGTGATGACTCTGATGCGCAAGAAAGCAACAATCAAAAATATAAAATTAGAAGGTTAAATTGAAATAAAAAGGCATATATAATAATTTAAATTATAAAATGCGGAGTAATAAAGCATGATGTTAAGTTGATTACATCCTTTAATGAGAAATTCAAAATATATGCGTTCCCCTTGTAATCAGAATGACGACAACGATTACGAGCAAATTATAAGCCGTCAAACTATCATAGTTGTGCTCGATCTTTTCTTAATGTGCAAATCTTGCCAATAGACATTAATGACACACGTGAAGTTTTTAATCAGATCCCGTGATTATTGGTAAAGGTAGAATCCGCACTATTGTACAAAGTCCATCTATTATGAATTTATGACCTTTATCGACGCTAAAAATAACAATAATTATAACAGACTAAGGCCCTGTTCTTTTGAGCTTCTAGGCAGAGCAGAGCAGAGTAAATGTCATTATTATTATTATTATTATTATTGTTATTATTATTATTATTATAGCATTATAATAATAATAATAATAATAATAATAATAATAATAATAATTATTATTATTATTATTATTACTATTATTATTATTATTATTATTATTATCGCAATTATTATTATAATCATTAATATTATTAAATATTAATTATTATTATTAAATAGTAATTATTTATTATTATTATTATTATTATTATTATTATTATTTAATATTAATTATTAAATAGTAATTATTTATTATTATTATTATTATTTAATATTAATTATTAAATATTAATTATTTATTATTATTATTATTATTAAAAATTAATAATTCATATATTTAAATATTAGTTATTATCTTTAAAATATTAATTTTTATTATAAAAAATCAATTATTATTATTATTATTATTATTATTATTTTTATTAATAAAAATTATTATTATTATCATTACTATTATTACTATTATCATTACTATTACTATTATTATTAAATATAAATTATTATTATTATTATAATTATTAAATATTATTTATTTATTTATTATTATTATTAAATAGTAATTATTATTATAATAATTCAATATTAATTATTATTTTTAAGCAGAGCAGAACAGATTTTAGTAGAGTAGATCAGATTTCAATAGAGCAGAGCAACTCTAAAAAACAGGGCATAAGACATTCTGTCATACAAATGCTCACAATTCTTGCAAAGTTCATGCTAGACATTCAAAATCACAACCTCTCAAAAGTCCAATAATATTTCTACTATAATGTTATTTAATTTATACATCTCACTGTTAGAAGATATCAAACCATAAAATTATCAAAACATTGGAATCATTATAGTGGCGTGAAACACACACACCCTAAACACAAAACACAACATTACAGCATCATTACCTTTTCCCTTTTAAGTAACTTAATTTACAAGCCCTAAATTCACATTAAATAAAAAAAAACATAAAAAAGCCTTTTAATGGCCCAAAATCACCCAAAAATAATTCCATAATTATCAAGATTATACACTAAAATTACAATTTTTTATTTCAAAAAATACCTAGAATTTGCCACGCCAAGTCGGCCAAAAATCGGCATTCACGTGTTAAAGAAGAAATCAACGACCATTCTTTTGACACGTCAAAAGTACTTCTTCCCTAGCCCTTGGATCTGCTTAAATATCAGTCAACGGGGTCCGTTTTCCTTAGCTTATTTACATACACAATTACACACCCAAATTTATTTATTTTTAAAAAATCATAAATAATAAAAGCTGCAAAATTCCCAAATATCGCATTTTTTTTTTGAAGAACTCCCCAAATTTTTTTTTATTCAAAATTAAAATTAAAAAAGTAGGTGGTGCTCCTGCTAGTAGAAGAAATCCCAGAATCTTTGATTTTTATTTTTATTTTAATTTCATTTTTTTTTTAATTTTTGGGTTTGAGATACTCAATTAGAAGGAGGAGAAGAGGGAGGAGAGAGAGTATATAAATACCCCGTGAATTCTGAAAAGAGGTTTTAGTTTTTGGTGGTATTGAAATCCAGTAAGTGGTTTTGGAGTTGGAAATTGAGTGGTTTTCCGAGCGGTTTTAGGGCATGGGGAGGTCAGGCCATGGTATACGGAGCTATTCTGTTAACTCTAATGACTATAAGCTTCTAGAAGAAATTGGATTTGGTGCAAGTGCGACGGTTTTCCGAGCGATCTATATTCCGTATAATGAGGTCGTTGCTATCAAGTGTTTGGATCTTGATCGATGCAATAGTAATTTGGTTCGTTTTCTCTTTAATTTCTGTTGACTACTGATTTTTGATCGATCGTTAATTTTTTTTAACTAATTTGGGAATTTTTTGATTTATTTGAGTTTTTTTAGCTTAGTTTATAGTGTAATTACTTCAATATTGGATTAATTTGTCGATTTTATTGTTTTGCAATGATCTGTTTTGCTTTTTCTGCATTGTATATGATTTAACTTTTGTCTGATGTATTGTAAGTTTGGAAATTGTGGTTGTGAATGCTTGAATTTTGGTTGCATGCATGGAAATTGATTTGGTTTTGCAGTGTAAAGTAATGGTTTAAGCTGTGGTAGTTAAAATCAACATTTTTTTTTTTTTTTTTTTTTTAATCTTTGTTGCGCATATTTGTTACTTGAATTTAATTCCTCGCAATCAAGGAGGTTTAATTGTTCTACGAAACGACCTTTTATGATAATTGAATCGTTCTCACTCACTCTATATCATTCAAGCTAAGTAGGGATGTTTTGGAAGTTTCTAATATTAGGAGTACTAAGGAAAAGTGACAATGTTTCCATGGACATCAAAAATAGTATATGTGACTATCATTTCTGGAAGAAGGGAGTGGTGAGAACCCACATGCACATAAGGCGCTTAAGGCGAGGACAGAGAGAGAGAGGGAGACTTTCCTATCCTCATAAACCATTTGTAAATTCTTTTAATCAACCCCTTCCTCTTTCTGTGGGTTATTCAGTTTTCAGTTAGAGGTTTTTGTGTGGGTCAGAGACGAAGCTAAACTGATTCAGTAGGGTTTAAGGGCTAACTATAATGATATGTTAACTCCTGATGTTTATGTTTTGACACACGAACTTATAGCATACAATATCATCATACTTGTGTCATACCATGGAATAGCATAAAACCTGCTTACCCCTTCGAGTGCACAGAAGCTTCTGTCTTTACTTTTTGCATGCAAATCGTATGTTCCCTTGAGCCTTGATCCAAAAGGGAAACTATCTGTCCTACAACTTCATAGGAAAAGAAGTTAAAGATTAATGTGGTAAGACGTTTGATTTAGTCCATTGTAATCGAAATTTCAAAGTTGGAACGATTTATTATTTTAATGAATTTAATCCTAGTAATAAATAATAGTCTGGCCTGTTTATTGAAAA